GCATCTGGGCCCGGTGGGGTCAGCAGGGCGCAGGCCCATCCAGAAGCTGCACAGGTGAGACAGGGGAGAAGAGAGAGCAAGCTATTTCTCCAGGAAGTGAGAAAAGGCTTCATGGAAAACGGTGGGGGCTCTCAAAGTCATTCTTTCTCTTTTGCTTTCTTGCTGACCAAGAATAATAATAATAATTACTAGTTTATAATCCTCACCTGTGGATATCTTTTCCATTTTTTTTTTTTTTTAGAGAGAATGAGGGGGGCAAGAGAGAGGGAGAGAAACATTGATGTGAGAGAGACACACCAAATTGGTTGCCTTCTGCTTGTGCTGGGATTGTTAACGTAAAAACATTTAAACCTGTAAAGAATTTTTTTGAGTTTATTTGAGCCAAACTGTCGACAATTTCCAGGAAGCAGAATCTCAACGGATTGGGATAATGCTCTGGAGAATGGCAGGTTTGTGTGGTTTTTTTAAAAAACTTTTTTTATACATTTCAATCAAAGGAGGAGACGTAGGTGGGTTACAGAAATCCATTGGTGATAGATTAGGGAGGTGGGAGAAAGCAAAGCAGAGAAACCTCTGGGATTGGATAAAAAGTAAAATGATAGCTCTTTTCCTCCCTGGTTGCTTGAAGATCAATCTTCATCATGAATGACACGGTAACTATCCGGACCAGGAAGTTCATGACCAACAGACTACTTCAGCGGAAGCAAATGGTCACTGATGTCCTTCACCCTGGAAAGGCAACAGTACCCAAGACAGAAATTCGGGAAAAACTAGCCAAAATGTATAAGACCACACCTGATGTCATCTTTGTGTTGGGATGCAGAACCCACTTGGGTGGTGGCAAGACCACTGGCTTTGGCATGATTTATGATTCCTTGGATTACGCAAAGAAAAACGAACCCAAATACAGACTTGCAAGACATGGCCTATATGAGAAGAAGAAGACCTCAAGAAAACAGAGAAAGGAACGCAAGAACAGAATGAAGAAAGCCAGGGGGACTGCAAAGGCCAATGCTGGCGCTGGCAAAAGGAAGGAGTAAAGATTCTTCGGTGACTTTATCTGTGATGGTTGTGCAGATTTTTCATGAGAGGATTAATAAACTATAAACTTTTTTTTTTAAAGTAAAATGATAGACACATTACTTAGGTAGGTACAGGATAGTTAACAGTCAACAACTAACATGATAACAATAATAAAGAAGGGATTTGTGGTCTCATCCTGGCGCATTCGGTTGTGTGTGTATGTGTGTATGTGTGTGTGTGGAGGGGGAGGGAAGTTACAAGTTACTCTGACATTTCACAGGTATGTGTATCTTAGATGCAAAAAGACTATAGGCTCAGTTAAGGTAAAAATTGACCTTGTTAGGGAATATACCGGCCTAGGACATGACTACCCACCATAACTGCTTTTAGTTAAAGTTTTAATTTCAGACCATCCTTTGTGGTTACTTTAGGTCTTTAAGTTTCCAATTGTGAAGAAGTGACAATTTTCTAACTAAAATAAATTGATAGAGGTTATGATCAGCTCAACAACAGCAAGGACAGGGGCCTGGAAAAGATATGCGTTTAATGGCCCAATTAGGTGGGGGGGAATAAATGTAAATCTAGAAGGGAAATAACGAGTGTCCAATGGACAGATGGCCAATAACTTTGAGACACTTGGCACAAAGGTTAAATACGTAGGAACATATTAGTCTGTATAGTCCTTAATGACACGCAAGTACTGTATTACAGCCAGGAAGACCCCAACTCATAGTAACAAATTTAGCAAAAATCAGTTAAAATGATGAGGCCTACCTACCGCTGGTCTGCAGGGGACACAGGACCTCACTCGGGGACATGTGAATCAGCCCAGTGGTCCTGAGGAAACCTGGCTTGACAAGATGATGCATTCCTGTGCCCTTGGGTTCACTGATCTTACTCTTGGGGACAGATCTCAAGGAAACAGCTCAAGAGGAATAGTAGAGTGAGACTCTCTGCTCAGGTGCCTGCAGTTAGAAACCGGTTACTTAAAATTCTGTGTTCAGAATATTCTGTTGCCATAAGAAGTTCCTGTCTGGAGTCAGAGAGACAAGGGAGCTCATCTGAAGTCTGACATGTAGCTGTGTGACTTCAGATATGTCACTTACCCTCTCTGAACCCCAGTTCCCTTTTGGATAAAATGAGGGGTAAATAATAGATGACTACCTCCTGGGGTTGTGTATTAAAAGGAGGTCATGTTTATAAAGTGCACAGTGTTTAACAAAGGGTAACGTATTAGAAGATGGCTACTGGATGGATCCTGGAGAGGAGTTCCTGCTTGCAAAGGATGAAGTAGCATCAGGAAGTCAGCTTTATATCTTGAAGAAGAGCTAGTGTCTTTGACTCCTAGTTTACTCTTTTTAAAAATATATTTTATTGATAGAGAGTTAGAAACATCGATGAGAGGAAAACATCAATCAGCTGCCTCCTGCACACCTCCTACTGGTGATGTGCCCGCAACCAAGGTACATGCCCTTGACCGGAATCGAACCTGGGACCTTTCAGTCCGCAGGCCGACGGTCTATCCACCGAGCCAAACCGGTTGGGGTTCCTAGTTTACTT